GACAGCAGAAGAGGAAAAATACAGTGCATGCATAATTATTATGCAAGTTGATATTCTGATCATATTTTTTTTCCAAGCACATTTGACCAATTCCAAACGACATCAATCTTAATAACTACTGTTAATCTTGTATTTGATCATTTATATAATTGATATATAATTATTCATGAAGGCTGGAAGTGAAAAATGTCATATGCAGGTGTGCATAATTATTAAGCAGATTTTCTTTTACAGATAAAATGAGCCAAAAAAAGAGATTTAACTCGGACTGAAAGTCAAAAATTATTAAATGCCCATTAGAAATATTAAAAACTACTACAATACTAGAAATTGCAAAGTTAATGCATAACCATTGGACAGCAAAATGCTCAGTGGGTCAGCAGGGTCAGTCAAAAACATGTGGAGAAGAAAAGATGCATGTTAACTGCAAAAGAATTAGGAATTAAGGTGAAGAATTAGTCTCCAGCGCCACCATTTTCCAGAACTGCAACCTACCTGGAGTCTCCAGCAGTTCAAGTTGTCAGGTTCTCAGAGACTTAGGAGAAGTATAGAATCCTAAAAAATGACCCCTACTTAATAAGAATCACATACTGAAGTGTAGTAAAATACTTGAATGCTTGACTGATTTTTTTATATAGAGAGACTTTGTAGACAGATAAGTTGAGAGTGACTCTTGAAGGACCAGCACCACATCCTCTTCTACCACTGTTTGAATAATTTATCTACCAGAATCTGGCAGTAAGTTGTGGGAGTTCATTTTTAGTCCATCTCGAGATTTTATCTGTAGAAGATAACCTGCTTAATAATTATGCACACCTGAATAGAAGGCGTTTTTCACTTCCAGCCTTCATGAACAATAATATGGTTATAAGTGATTAAATACAAGATTAATAGTAGTTATTAAGATTGATGTCGTTTGGAATTGGTAAAATGTGCTTGGAAAAAAATATAATCAAAATATCAACTTGCATATAATAATTACGCATGCACTGTATTTTTCCTCCTCCGCTGTCATCAGCAATTCAAGGAATGTTGTGATTGGTTGTCAAGGCAGCCAATCAGAATTTAGCAGCCTCGTCTCTGATTGGCTGGAATTATGGCATTTTGTAACACTGGGTTGTGTTGAGCAAGCGAGCCGTTGGCATTTAGAGAGCACCGAGGGCAGGCATCAGGTGAGCAAGCTAGTGAAACGTTGCACGCGCAAAAGAGAAGGTCTGCACAAATCCACAAACTTATTTTAAATGCAAAATTGATTTTAGTGCGAAACAAAAATTTTCTCCACAAAACTCAGATCGCACGCGTGCAAAATGAACTTTTGTGCTCTCAAAATATGATCTTTCGCGCGCAGAATTGTGGCAGAGATCTAACCCTATACCCCTGCTGTTTGATCGCTGTATCGTTTTATGAACACCCTCACTGAGTGTGTTCGCTTATTGCTCACTCAACTTCATCTTGTTTTTTCAACCGTGAACTTTAGCCTGACGAGACTGAGATGGACTAAACAGAGTGTGAATGTACTGACCTTTCAGTGTTTCTGGATGAGAGCATCTTCAGTTTGATGAGACTCCCAGCTTTCCAGTCATGGTTATACGGGTCAAACCCAGGGCCAGTTGCATAAACATAGTCACCATGTTAAGAATGTGTCTTAAGAGCTAGTTTGATATTTACTTTCATTCAACAGCAGGAAATGAGAGCTGAACAATAAATGTACTGTGTGTCCTCTGAGCATAACTGCTGGGCTATTGTGTGAGCTTCCTGTTAGCGTGTGTACTCACTTAAACTTTTGTCAGTTCAGGGCGACACGACCATCTGGGGAACATATTGGAGAGTTTGTTTTACTTTCCTTTTGAAAAAGTGTTCATCGTTTGTATTTGTAATTCATCCATGCTGGTGTTTCTTACACTACTTTTTAACTGCTGAATGCAACACACTCATGTCAATTTGTAGGCCTATATCTATTTTATGTTTCTGCAAACTGGTTGTGAATGCATACATTTGCAGGTTTCACCATCTCATTTCACATATGTTTTGAGCCTCACTGAGGGAGGCTTAGGTTTAGGGGTAGATGTTTCTATATGCTTATTTATTTCTAGAAAGCATAGTTTTCTAAAAAAAAAAAAAAAGCATAGTTACAAATCAAATCATACATACATACAAATCAAGCCACAAAAATGCTGGCTTAAATATAACACGGCGCTGGGTTAAAAAGGGACAAACCCAGCTATTGGGTTGTTTTGACCCAGCGGTTGGGTTGTTTTGACTGCTGAATGCAACACTCTCTCATATCAATTTGTAGGCCTATGTCTATTTTGTGTTTCTGCAAACTGGTTGTGAATGCATACATTTGCAGGTTACACCATCTCATTTCACATATGTTTTGAGTGGTTGGGTTGTTTTGGCCCAGCGGTTGGACTGTTTTGACCCAGCGGTTGGGCTGTTTTGACCCAGCGGTTGGGATGTTTTGACCCAGCTATTGGGTTGTGTTGACCCGGCTATTGGGTTGTGTTGACCCAGCGGTTGGGTTGTTTTGACCCAGCGGTTGGGTTGTTTTGACCCAGCGGTTGGGTTGTTTTGAATCCAACCTCTGGGTCAAAACAACCCAATAGCTGGGTTTGTCCCTTTTTAACCCAGCATTTTTTAGAGTGTACAAATTCATACAAAATCACCAACTTGCACTGTTTGTAAATAGCTACATTTCTCATGAGGTTGGATTTAAGTGAATATAAAACACAATAAAAGAAGTCATATTTTACACAAATTTGCAGTCCAAAATGAATGTGAAAAGATTTATATATATAATACAGTGTATAGTCCAATACACAAACAAATTACTCTTTCAATCATTTTTAGTGGATCAAAAACATACAGCAGAGCCAGTGCAGACCCATTCAAGAAATAAATAACTCTTATCAGCCAATTTCAATTAATCATTCATAAATAGACTTCACTCGCACTGAATCTGTCAAATTACAATATATTATAAATTTGACACATCTCACAGTTTTCCACAAGAATTGCTATATAATGTTTATTTCAGTTGGTTTACAGAGCAATTTTGGAGTTGATTTATATCAGATAATAAACACTCACACGCACACATTTGAACTGCACAGTTTGGGCTCAGATAGTGTTTAAATGTGGTTCTCTGTAGGCCCATAAATGAGAGAGAATGTCTTTATAGAAGCTACTATATAATCATAATGGGCATTATACTGTCCAAATAAATGGGAATAGAATCCGAATCGCATGCTTTGGATTTGAACCGGGAAATCTGCATGGATACCACATTACACCACCCATTATCGTCTTCTTTGAAAATACATTTAAACTGTTTGTGAATATATATAGCCTATTGCGTATTCTCTCTATATAGAAATACTATAGACCACACACGATCTTCATTAGCAATGGATCAGTGACAATAAAGTGATCCGAGTTGATAATGCAAAAGAAAATCGGCAATGACAAACTTCTTAAGACTATTCATTAACGAATAGGTTTTCTTTAAAAAAAAATATATATATATAAAATCATGTCACATATACACGCACGTCACGTGAGCATGAAGTGTTAAACGAGTCTCAGCATCATCTCGTCACACCGGGGGGGTTTCCATGGTAACGCGCCGTGAGGAGGCTGCGGTACCCGAGGAAGAGCGCACGCGCGCGTGTGGCTCGGGTCATGTGGTCTCTCAAGATGGCGACTTCAGTGCTGGGATGTAAAGAGTGAATCAGAGCTGCAGCAAACACACACACACACACACACACACACACACTCGGCGCTCAGAACAGCGACCGGTCCGGGTCTGCGCTCAGCGTTGCGCACACGCGTTCAGTGTTCAGCTGTTGCTGTCGGACTCGGTGGAGATGAAAGTTTAGCTCGGCAGCAGCTTGCAACATCGCTCATGCAGGATTCCCACATTGGATAATTCACCATAACCCTTCCTTCCTTCTCCTCCAGAATATAAGGTTATTTGTCATAAAACCGGTCTGTTTTTTTAATGGAATAACTGGATGATAAGGTGTCTGTAGCCCAAAGCTTTGTCCATCCGGATCACGTTCTGCAATGGCCATCCATGTGTTCGGTGAGTCGATCTCGGTCTGATTGCTTCTATCTGGAGTTTGGCTGATAACAGATCGATGTGTGTCTGTGTGTGAGAGCCAAACACGCGCAAACAGAGCTCAGATAGAGAGATGCGCTGATGTTAGCTAACCCTGCGGATGATGACAAGAAGCGTTGTGTCTTCTTCACTCACACTGATGAGTGGTTTTATGTTCTTGCTTGTGTACAAACACACTTCCAGCGCGGGTTCACACTAATGAGATCATGTGGTCAAAATAACTTGGTTATTCTGATGCTACAAAAGGCAACCGGGTTGTTCTTCTCTTTTGTTTCTCCTCATCTTCAGTGTTTGCTTTGTTGAGGTGGTCACACACACTATACTGATGCAGACTGTCCTTTGGGGCAACAGGGAAATGATTGTTAAACCGGAACGTTAACAAAACATTTTCGATTAAAATAATAGATTTTGATGCTTCTGTATATGCATGTTGTTTATGAGCTCATATTAATTAGCCGGATATGAATATAAGAATAATGTCACACTGGAAGTGCGTTTCAAATAAAAAAATAATGAAAAACTTCTGATGAAACGCATCTAAATTTACAGTAACACTTTTCATTTGAACCTAAACCCTGACTAACAAGCTCAAGGATATGTTATATGTCATCTACCCAAATATATATCATCACATGCCTGCAGCTCAATAAGCCAGACTCGTACACTGTAAAAAATGGCAGTGAATTTAACGGTAAAAGACTTATATGGTTAACGGTAAATTCCCCTACTATATACGGTGAAAAACTGTATTGGACATTACATGTATTGGACATCAATTTTACGGTAGTATACCGTTTTTGGAAGTGAAAAAGACCGTATAATTTACAGTCAATAACCGTAAATTGACATTCCCAGAATTCCCTGCGTTACATTACATTTCAAATGTGATGTTTTTTTGTTGAAATAACTGTTTCTTCTTAGTTTGTTCTTATCAGTTTTGTATATTAGGGTTGTGTGTTGCACCTAATGTTGTTAAATGAATGTTTGTTGCATTATTTCAGTTTCATGTGTGTTACCGTGATGGTGTTTAGTGTTTGTGTGAATGACACGGTGCACCTTCTATATATGTTATTATTTAAAAGCTGCTTGTGATGGGCTTTGGTTCATCATGTGACTTTCTCATCACCTCCTGCATTTGGTGGTTATCAGTGTATTACAAAGATACAAAACAGATTTCAGTACTTCAATAGGTTGGTATATTAACATTTTATCAGTTAATGCAATTACGGTATTTAACTGTAAATTTAAGTTAAAACCGTAAAACCTAAAACGTTGCTACCGTATTTTTACGGTAAAATTCCGGCAACCACAGCTGCCGTTTTTTTACCGTAAATTTTACGGAATTGTTTTTTACAGTGTACTGCTGTGTTTTTCAGATGCCTTGAATATACTCAAACGCTTTACACATGCCTTTTGTGATGAACATACTAGTGTTTTTTTTTCTGTTTTGGAAGTTTCTGGGAAAGGAAGAGGAAACGGTCTTTCCTCCGAGAGAGTGAGTTGGTGTAGTATTGTGGAGCGGGGCCAGGTTTTTTCTGAAGTCAGGAGTAATGTGCAGGGCCTCTCCCTCTCCTGTGTGCTCTATTGTTCATGAAGTGCTTACAGCAGGGTATTTCGGCAGGGTTTTCCTGCTAGTATTCAGTGATCCTATAATGAGCACCCTGAAGAAACATCAGCATCTCGCTGTCAGTTTAACAACACTTTCTTCCAGTAAATTCATTCAGGAACACACCACTGGAAATTCTATCCTGTGCAAATAATATAGTAAACTATATTATTATATAGCATATTTGGTTTGGTTTTGCATGATTGATGATACTGCGTAGCATATTTTAGTCCTTTTTTTTTAGTAAATTCACATTGGGGATTGCAAAAATGAATATTGCTGTTGATCAGATAACATTAAAATAAATATAACAATAATATAATAAATTACTTTCTAAATGAGCCTGAATATTTTTTGCACACACACACACTATCTACAGTGACATCTATCTATCTATCTATCTATCTATCTATCTATCTATCTATCTATCTATCTATCTATCTATATAGATTGATAGGAAAATGGATAGATATGCAAAAAAAATGCATAGTAATAAACCGTTGAATAGTATACAAATTTCAATGGTGTTTCTGAATGAATTTGCTGGTGGAAAAATGTTGATGGTTCTTCAGAGTGTTGATTATGTGTTTCCGCACAAAAGTTAATTTTAATAAAAAGTTAATAATAAAAAAAAGAGTAATTTTGATTAAATATTTTTTAATTGTAAAGAAGTTTCTTCTGCTCACCAAGGCTGCATTTACTTGATCAAAAATACAGAAAAAAACAGTAATATTGTGAAATATTACTGCGATTTAAAATGGCAGTTTTTTTACTATTTTTTTTTATATGATGTAGTTTATTCTTGTGATCAAAGCTGAATTTTCAGCAGATGTGTCTTCAGTGTCACACGATTCTTCAGAAATCATAATAATATGCTGATTTGATGCTGAAAATTCAGCTTTGACCACAGGAATAAATTCCATTTTAAAATGTATAAAAAAAAGAAAACATTGATTTAACATTGCAAAAATATTTCACATTGTTGCTGTTTTTACTGTATTTTTTTTTTATAATAAAATGTTTGATTGATGTTATATTTAGTTAATCTGTGACTTGCATTGTAAAACAAAAGGAATAGAACCGTAATGAACATAATAGTAATAAAAAAAAGTTTAAATAAAATGTGAGATCTTTAATAAAAAATACTGAAGAAAACCCTGCAAATCCTAATGTTTTCCAGCAGATGGCAGTCTCACATAGACAATAGTCATATGTCATGTGTCATTTTCATCCATTTGATTTGTGTTGTTTTTTTGATTGAACAATGTCTCTTATTTCTCTCAGATAATGATGAGTACAGACCGCCTGTGTGGAAATCCTACTGTAAGTGTACTTTTCAATACAGCAACATAAGTGTTATTGAAAGGTATTTATAGTAACAGCTAGTTTGCAGTAACATTTCACAGGTGAACATCATTCTACTAGAGAAGTAAATGATTGTGTCTGGACAGTACAACAAATGAAGTTATTTCACTTAACTGCATCTTGCAAGAAAAAGAAGTCATATATAATACAGAAATATGCATTTAGATATGTGACCCTGGACCACAAAACCAGTCATAAGAGTTGATTTTTTTGAAATTGAGATTTATACATCATCTGAAAGCTGAATAAATAAGCTTTCCATTGATGTATGGTTTGTTAGGATAGGACAATATTTGGCCGAGATACAACTATTTGAAAATCTGGAATCTGAGGGTGCAAGAATAATCATCTTTAAAGTTGTTCAAATGAAGTTCTTAGTTATGCATATTATTAATCAAACATTAAGCTTTGATATATTTACGGTAGGAAATTTACAAAATATCTTCATGGAACATGATCTTAATATCCTAATGATTTTTGGCATAAAAGAAAAATCAATAATTCTGACCCATACAATGTATTTTTGGCTATTGCTACAAATATACCCCAGCGACTACACTCTACTATTTTTGAAAATAGGCTCAATTTCCCTAGAGTTAAACAGTTGAGTTTTACCGTTTTCGAATCCATTCAGCCGATCTCCGGGTCTGGCGGTAGCACTTTTAGCTGTAGCTTAGCATAGATCATTGAATCTGATTAGACCGTTAGCATCTCGCTCTAAAATGACCAAAGCGTTTCTATATTTTTTCTATTTAAAACTTGACTCTTCTGTAGTTACATCATGTACTAAGACTGACGGAAAATGAAAAGTTGCGGTTTTCTAGGCCGATATGGCTAGGAACTATACTCTCATTACGGCGTAATAATCAAGGAACTTTGCTGCCGTACCGTGAATGCAGTAGGCGCAATGATATTACGCCAGCGCCTTAGCTGCTAAGCTGCAGCTAAAAGTGCTACCGCCAGACCCAGAGATCAGCTGAATGGATTCGAAAACGGTAAAACTCAACTGTTTAACTCTAGGGGAGTTGGAAAATGAGCCTATTTTCAAAAATAGTGGAGTGTTCCTTTAAGACTGGTTTTGTGCTCCAGGGTCACATATCACTTCATAACTATGATTTTCAAATCAGTTGCATTCCATAATTCACATCTCTCTCTGTATATACAATATATTAATTCTCCTGAAATGCTTGTGGTGTTTTGTTGTAATAGTGTACCAGCTCCAGCAGGAGGCGCCACATCCGCGCAGAGTCACCTGCATATCTGAGGTGAGTGATAGAGCCTTGGAATGAGCCACTAGAACTGAAATATAACATTCATGAACAGGTTTTAACACATTTATACATTTGAGATTTGTGGCGTACAAATGTCTTCCAAAAGACAAAAGATTTGAGGATTTGAAATCGGTTTTCTGGTCCTTTTGAGCGCCCCCTGGAGGAGGACAAACGCATGACTCCTGTCTTCTCTATAATGAGAATGCTTCTGTTGGGCATGTCCTGTGCTCTTTTGTACATTAATAATCCTCAGCTCATATAGTTTGTTGATATTTTTATGTAAATGTTTTAAGTAAGTATGTAATGTAGGTCACCCATCTTCTTCGAATTGCAAATGCGTCTCTTTAATTGCATGATGGTCTAGAGACTAGTAACCTCCAGAGGCGAGATGCAACATAAAGACTTGCAGCAGAGCAGAATCTGCGCCCAGCGCTGCTCCATTAGTCAGGCAGATATTAGTGGCAGTAATTAAGGAGCGAGAGAGATGGTGCTTTTGAATTATTCATCTGGAGCATGATAATCTTGTGTTTGTGGAGGAAACTGCCTGTGGCCCAGCGCTGCGTTTAGAGATGGGGGCCAAACATTTAGACTCATGCCCTCCCCCTTCACCGTCTGCAGGTGTTTTATCAACAGCTTCCTCATAGATAAACATGTATTATGAAATCTGACCGTCACTGTTAGCTGCTGTTTGGTAGATTATTTGACGATAATATATCAGGGATTTGTAATATGCTGGTGATCATATGCAAATCAGAATTAAAGGGATAGTTCTTCACCCAAAACTGAAAATTTGCTGTTACTTTACTCACCCTCAGGCCATCCAAGATGTAGGTGTCTTTTAATTTCTTCAGTAGAACAGTAAAGAAGTTAACAGTCATTTTTAACTGAAACCATTGTCCTTGATTCATAAAATGCAAGTCAGCGACTGCACGTTTTTGACAATTTAAAAAAAAGCATATCAAGGAACAAAAAATGAATTCTCGTGGCTCCTGACGATATATTGAGGTCTTCTGAAGCGAAACGATTGCTCTGTGGAAGAAACTGAACATTATGTACAACATTATTACTATGGTTTCAGCTCAAATTCTTTTTCACTGTTAGGCCTGTACTGGAAGCAGAGAATCAGTTCTGTCCTTTTAAATGCAACTCACAAAAACATGGACTAAAATAGGCCTATTTTATGACTTTTTTTATTTTACATTGTGACATTATTTTTTATAAATATTTTTATTTCATTTTTATTATTTAATTTTATTAAACAAATGAAATAAAAAATATATTTTTAAACAAATTATAGGCAGCACAACAAATACGGTAATGGTTTATTTATTTATTAATTTATGTCTAAAGAAAAAGAAACCTATTATAGGACCTTTTTGTGACATTATTTTCCTGACAAACACATTTATCCCAGTAAAAATTACTGTATTACAATTATTATTAATTTTTTTCATTTAAATCAGCATAACTTTCAAGTAGCACAACAAATACCATGATGATACGATTGGTTGGTTGGTTGGTTGATTGGTTGGTTGATTTGGTTGGTTGATTTGGTTGGTTGGTTGGTTGATTTGGTTGATTTGGTTGGTCGGTTGGTTGATTTGGTTGGTTGATTTGGTTGGTTGGTTGGTTGATTTGGTTGGTTGATTTGATTTGGTTGGTTGATTTGATTTGGTTGGTTGATTTGATTTGATTTGATTTGATTTGATTTGATTTGATTTGGTTGGTTGATTTGATTTGATTTGGTTGGTTGGTTGGTTGATTTGATTTGATTTGATTTGGTTGGTTGATTTGGTTGGTTGGTTGATTTGATTTGATTTGGTTGGTTGATTTGGTTGGTTGATTTGATTTGGTTGGTTGGTTGGTTGGTTGACTTGGTTGATTTGGTTGGTTGGTTGATTTGGTTGGTTGATTTGGTTGGTTGGTTGGTTGATTTAAACTACATGTATTTTATTTTGCTTTTTGGTGGTGAAGGAAAAGGAATGGGAGGAAATATGTGCTTAATTGTCATTAAAAAAAACTTTAAAAATCATAAAATAGCCTTAATTTTCTTTAAGCAAAATGCAGTTTCCAATTTCTTCCTTTCAGTTTTGTGATGAAATAAGACCTGAATATTATCTTGACAGGTTTCATGAGATTTACCATTATATTTTCTACTTTTCTATTGTCTTTTTTCTTGAAATTCTGGAGCTTAAAAACAGCTAAACAGGCACAAGATTACAACTGGGTTGGTTGGTTGATTTATTTGGTTGGTTGGTTGATTTGGTTGGTTGAGTTGATTTGGTTGGTTGGTTGGTTGGTTGATTTGGTTGGTTGGTTGGTTGATTTGGTTGGTTGGTTGGTTGGTTGATTTGGTTGGTTGGTTGGTTGGTTGATTGGTTGATTTGGTTGGTTGATTGGTTGGTTGGTTGCAGGGATGAAAACTACATGTATTTTATTTTGCTTTTTGGTGGTGAAGGAAAAGGAATGGGAGGAAATATGTGCTTAATTGTCATTAAAAAAAACTTTAAAAATCATAAAATAGCCTTAATTTTCTTTAAGCAAAATGCAGTTTCCAATTTCTTCCTTTCAGTTTTGTGATGAAATAAGACCTGAATATTATCTTGACAGGTTTCATGAGATTTACCATTATATTTTCTACTTTTCTATTGTCTTTTTTCTTGAAATTCTGGAGCTTAAAAACAGCTAAACAGGCACAAGATTACAACTGTCCTTTATAAATATATATCACTATATATCACTATAAATGTTTTAGCGTGACTGTGCTTCATATATTTGGATGTTCTGGTTGATGATAACGAACATGTTCCTGCCAGAAAGCTAAAGTGACTCTTAAAAGACGCATACGCTGGCGTCTGTGGAGGGAGTTTTAATAAGATGTTGATCTGCTGATGGTGGGATGGGGTCTGCTGCTGTTAACAGAATTCAGCAGGTATTTTACCCCCAGACGTGGACCCCATTCCCCCCTCGCCCCGCCCCAGCCGACTGGACAGCGGATTAATGAACGGTGGATTAACATTAAACAGATGCACACTGCTCTTCATGTTTATCTCAAGGGCTTCTGGAGCGTTTCTTGCTCTGGGCTGCTGGCCACTTATCTGCTCCTGTAAAGTGCAGGGTTATTGTGGCAAGAGGTTTAACCCTATCTAATCCCCTTCAAAAGGCCCCGCAATTTTTTTCAGCATTCAGATCATGTGAATCATTGACCAGAGTCCTCAAACACACACACACACACAGCACTGTAGTCCAGCACAGCACACAACTCACTGGACACTTCACTGAAGCATCTGGGTTTCCTTTTTATCAAGAGTCTTGATGACAAATAATGCTTTTGCTTCAGGACCCAGATTTTAGAAACCAGATAACAGAGTTATTAACATTTTCCAGCAGTTTTAAAATAATACTTGCTTTTACTCCGGAACAGTTTAAAAGTGTACGATGTATAACAATATCCTGTTAAATAATAATAATAAAAAAGATACAACAAAACACATGCATATAAAATACAATTCCATGGACTTCTTGAAATGTTCTTTTATTGTTTTTCACCGTAAATTATACTTGTGCATAAAAAAAATGTCAGTATTGTACTGTAAAATGATATATAATATATAAGAATTATTATTACTATTTACAGTTTGTTACTATATATTGTAAGTTACAGTTAACAATTTATCAGGTTTTAACTGTAGGATTTGAATGTTTATTTTGTTATTCGAACACGGAGTATCAGTTGGAGTGACTGAATTCACACAACAGATGATAATTTCCTTTATTTGAATCTGAACCTCAGTGAAGTGTTAAAGAAATGAGCCTTCCCCTCACAGATGCTGCGTTCCTGCTGCTTTCATTCATTCTGTCTGCGACCAAACTATTGAGGGTTTGATTTCATCCCTTTATCAGATTTCATTAGTGCAGAGTGAGTTTGTCCTTTCTTGCTGTAATTGAATTATGCATAGTGGCGAGTTTCAGCTTGAGCCTCATTAAGGCTTCATAGATTTTTTTCATGATTTATAAGTGATAGTGATAATCTTTTTTTTTTTTTTTCTTTCAGTTATCATTTTGGCCTGGTTACTTGATTAAACAGGTACATTATGTTGTCTAATTCATACACTTCACTGTTTTTTTTTGTATTGTAGATATACCTGTACATATACATACAACAGAATGCATTTGTAGGCTGACATCCTGAATAGAACTTTGCAAATAGTTTATTCCAGGGTGATTCCATTCTGAAATATCATGTAAACGCAAACACAGATTTCTCTGTTTAGTGGATTTTTCAGCTTGAGCAGAGCAGACCAATGTCAAAATCTGGCTCAGATAGGACTGTTAGTGTTAATAGATGCTTGTTAAATGCTAAATGTTTTGTGTACCACTAGCAAAATTCAATTGTAATGACGTCACAACGGTTTCATTCTGTTGTATGCTGGTTCTAAAAACTGATGGGACCTGATTGAGCTGATTCAGCAGAGCTGCAGGACTAGGTGCAATCACTGGTGTTTACATGCTTTAGTCTGACTGAATCTGGCCCAGACATTTTATTGTGTTTTTGTTTTTATTTGTTTATTTATTTATTGGTGATCTACAATAATTTGAGGTTCAGTACAAATTTTTATATGTATGTGTGTGTGTGTGTGTTTATTCTGAAAGGATGCATTAAATTGATTAAAACTGAGAGTAAAGACCAGAAATTTCTATTTCAAATAAATGCTGTTCTTTTGAACATTCTATTCATCAAAGAATCCTGAAGAAAAAATAAAAATAAATCCTGCATCAGTTTCCACAAAAAAATATGAAGAAGCACAACTGTTTTCAACACTGATTTTAAGAAATATTCAAAGCAGAATGATTTCTGAAGAATCGTGTGACACTGAAAACTGGAGTAATGAAGCTGAAAATTCAATTTTGCATCACAGCAATAAATTACATTTTAAAATATATTACAATATAAAACAGTTGTTTTTGTTATTTTTCATAATATTAGTGTGTTT